ATCTTCTAGTAAGACCCTTACATAGATTTTCCAACAACCAGCTTCCAAATCTTTTCACATATCTACAAATTGGATTCCTGCCTATGCATCTTTGTTCTGAAACAGAAGTAGACAAGTTGGATTGAATGAAAAACAAATCTAAGATTTTTGTCAGTCAATATATGCAATAAATACAAAGGAAAATGATGCAAGTTTTCGCTATCTAGAAACATTGACATTTTAAGAAGAAATCCCAATTCTCAGGTAACAACCTTTCATCCTTTTCAGAAAGGAGAGACCAAAATGAGAGTTGAAAATTGAGTATAACTAGCTTTACTATTGACTATCATCTTCATGTAACCAATAGTACAAAGTAAAAAAGATTACAAAAGCCACATCCTAGAAGTGGCCCAATTCCATTATTCATCAATATACTGAAGGAATGAAGTTTTTGGTGTTAGCTTCATGAATGGAAAGAGTCTTGAATTTAGGCTGTCAGTAATGAGAAAGAGCAAGCTGCCTCCCTCATTCTTGGAGGGACCATGAAACCCAATTTTTCTGCCAATGGAGGCCCTGGATATCTACCCCAGTTCTTTAAATGCTTTGGCTCTCCAGGAAATTAGATAACCCTGTTTCAAAGTAAGTGAGAATTAGTTCTCCTGAGAAAAGATGTTAAGATGTGAGGAAGAATTTGGGGTAACCCATTATAAGTGTCATAAATATATTACTCTTTTAATTTAGTCTTAATAAGATAGTGAATCTCTGCTGATTACAAACCAATTGAATATTAAAGCCACATTTATTGAAATTTTAACTGGTATGAATAAAATAAAGTAGGTAACACATACACTTTTATTTTAGTCTTTGGTAAATAAAATTGGGAGAAAATGTCTTTGATTATTTAATATCAGGAGTTTTATCTGACAGGTTGGAATAAAAACAGCAGTCTTAGTACAGTATATGTTAAAGACCAAATGAATATTCAAAGCATATTAAGTGAGATTTAGTAACCATAAATTTGATATGTATCTGTTATATAGCTGCTCATCTTCGATAAATAGGTTTCTAATAAGCAGTTAGTATTTATTCAACATAGCACAACTGTTGCAATGAATAAATTAAAAGCCTATTTAAGACATTTTATTCAGCAGAAGGAGTTAGCACAGCTTCCCTGATCATGTTAATACTGGAGGGGTGCCAATGATCTAACACCCAGTTGTCAATATGGAGTCCACCATGCTCAGTGATACAGCATGACCAACATAACACAGTGTGAGGAGTTGTAACCATGAAGTATCAGGTCAAGAATCACGACAAGATTATGTTTGTGGGGAAAAAATGATGATTCTCAAACACTTATGCAGTACACAATGAAAACTGGTTAAGTCTCTATTTTTTAAAGTCTCGCTCTTCACCTCCTCCTCCAGGGCTCATCTTAGCAAAGGTTTTCAGTGGAGATAATGAAATTTATTTTGCATGAATTATCGTGACAAAGTATGTGACTGAAAACAGAAGGGTTTTCCATCTCCTTTGACTTTATGTGATATAGTAATCATAGGTGATATTGAAGGACAATATGGCATAGTTAGGAAGATGGCCAGTCTTGGAGAAAGGAACGTGAGTTCCAGTCCTGTCTCTGACCTATATTTGCCCTGCAATTCTGAGCAAATCAGAGGGAACATTGTAATAATAAATGTTCAGATGACTTTCAGTCCACATCAGTGAAGGGAGTTCCCACACACTGAAGAAGTCACAGTTCTGATACAAGTATAAACACACACACACACACGCACGCACACACATATTTATGGTGTCTCATTACAGTTAAGAACAGAATTGAAGCTGTAAGTTATTATGAACTTCAATGATATGTAGTTTCAATGTACTTTGCACCTGAATTTGTATATATTTTAGCAGGAGCCCTGAATTTTGGTTCCAAATTGTCCTTCTCACCTCCTTTTTTCTTTATATGAGGTATGATAGTGTTTGGCAGTTAAGGAGAAGGGTGTTAGTTGTCAAACACCTTCCATATTTTCTTTACTGCAAGCCATTGCTTGCTGTCTAAGCAAAATATAGACAAGTACATGTATTCTGAGTTGTTCCTCATTGGTTGGACAAGTCTAAGGGAATAGATAGTCTCTATCCCATATATTAACATGCCTTATGGTGGTTGAAACTATGCAAAACACACAGGCTATAACAGAATGAGCATCTAGCTTCTAATTCAGTCTTTGCAATATTGTTTTCTCCTGGAAAGTAAAGAAGCATTGTGAAATAACCATTCTCTCCATCACAATGCTTTCCTCTTACCTTTGACTCTTCACAAGGGGATTTCATTGGCTTGTCCATAGGTAATATATATCGTAGCAGTATAAATTCAACAGAAGTCAGACATGCATTGCCCTTAAGTAGCTCTCATCATCTAGTATCCACCTATTATGTAGATTACGTAAAGAATCTCCTCCCTTCAATGATGCTGTTGGACTAGAACTATGAGATTGCTCTCTGCTAATAGGGCTTTGCTTCTTCTATTTGGCACATAATAAATATAGAGATGAAAGTCAGTGTGGCATCATAGAGTAATGGTTGGCCTTGGGAGGTGTGTATTTAAATCCTAGTGACACATATAAGCAGAACAACTGTGGTCAAGTCATTTGACCTCACAGTTCCCTTTGCAACTCTTCAAGAATAAAAGTTATAGAGGAGTGGTGGATTTACTTTGGTGCAGGGAGTTTCCACACTGGGAGTTGCCTACAGAAATGAAATCAAATCTTGAGATTAGATAGACAAAGAGACAGACAGAAAGGCAAATAGATAGATAGAAGATAGATGGATAGATATTAACAAACATTTATTAAGCACCTGTGTTGTGCCAAACTGTGCTAAGTGCTAAGGATACAAAAAGAGGCAAAAGACAGCCCCCATCCCCAAGAAGCTTGCAATTTCATGTAAGACAGATACGTAGATACATATAAAGGTAGGTTAGAAAGAATTAAAATAGTAAGGTGTGTGTCCAAAAATTCTTGAACACCTATCTTGGGTATGGGTATACTAAAGACATATCATGAATGACCACTTCAAGGAACCTCTTCAGTTTACTAAGGAGAAATCTCAAGTATTCCCTGGGATATCACCTTTCAGCCCCCTGTCTATTTTTCTCACTTGAGCTCACCTGAGGATCAGAATCATCAATACTTTATTAATTGATTCTTTGCCCCCCCCCCAAGAAAAATTGAGTCTCCACTGGAAAATGTCTATTTTGGAACAAAAGTTGTTCCCAAAATAGGAGCTATTGGTCTATGAATGTGTTTCAATTTATATTACCTTTCTGTGCTCTCACTGGCCATGCCCAAGTCGAGATCTTTCTAACTAAATTGATTTGGACATTAATAGCAAAGGGGGATCCAAAGTAGTGCAGACACATACCCCCAGAAGTAGGCAATGGCATCTATGGATAAAGAGATCATGTGTTAAACAAGTAACTGATAAATATACAAAGACTAAGATTTCATATGATATAATAATGATGACAACAGACATTTTCCCATTTAATTTTCACAACAACCAGCTGCTTTTTAATGTTCATTTTACAGATGAGGAAACTGAGCTGAGGGAGGCTAGGTAACTCATCCAAGCCCATACAGCTAGCAAATGTTGGTGGGAGATTTAACTGCTGAATCTAAGTCCAACACTATCTACTACAACATGTTGCACACCATGCTGTCCCTCCTAACATGCTGAACCTGAACCAAACAGGAACAAATAAATTTGGCCCAAGCATTTTCTTACTTCCCCTTTTATGATTTCAACCTCTTCCAGGCTCCTCGTTTTCCCATGATGCCTCCCTCTCTTCCCAGAGACTCCAACATCAATTCCTAACCCAATAAACATCCCATGCGTCACACCTTTTGTCCTTCCCCTTTCATAAAACCATACCTGGTTTCTTTGTTCCATGCACCCCCACTGCCCCCATAAAAATGTGCCCCTTTTTCTAAAATGCCTAACTATATCTATATCACTGGAAATTAACCCAAAAATATCATTTCCATTTCAACCAAGTATGTTGCAGCTCCAGAGAGTATACCATATTTTTACAAAGTACTACCACAGACATAATGGTGGAAATTATTTCAGAAATATTGGTAACTCAGTTCAAAAAAAATTCACTTCAACAAACAAGATCCAAATGAAAAAATATGTATATAATCTGTCCCTGTCTCTAAAGAGCTTATATCCACAGCAAATAGGCCTCAAACCTCTGCTTAAAGATTTGTGTTGATGAGAATTTCTCTTGTCTGAGACAACCCATAATACTTCTGGGGAGCATTAATGGTTAAATTTTTTTAAAATGCCTTGTTCTTTTTTTTAATTACTTCTGGAACCAAGCTAAACTAAATGAACTTTGGTCTACCTAATAGATATTCAACTACATGATGATTTCTACTTCCCTCACCTCCTAGGTTTTCTTTTCCCTCATTCATTCAACCTGTCCTTAAAAGATGAGCTCTCCATTCCTCTCACCATGACAGCCACTCTGCTCTGAACACATTACATTCTGTCAGTCTCCTTTCTAACAAGTGGTACCCATAACTGAGCATGATCCTCTGAATGAAGTCTGACCATGACAGATTATAGATGAACCATCAAGTCCCTCATTCAGAACATTTTTATCCTACTTAAGCAACTTAAGATCATGTTACCGTTTGGGGCTGCCACATCACATTCTTGCCTAATGTGAGATTTGCAATGTGCACAGATCTCCAATTTTCCCCTAAGAACTGGAATCTAGCCATCTATCCCTCCACTCTCCTTGTGATACTGATTTTTAGGGTCCAAGGTTAAAAGCATTTTTGCTAAATACATTTTACTTAATTATAAATAAAATGTGTGAAGGGGGGGAAATGAAATTTCTATGTTTGACTTTCTTTTCAGGTGAATTGAAATTCTAGCAACAAACCATTTTGTTTACTGAAATGACAAACTTTTCTTTCTTTTTTTATATCTTCTTTAAATAAATAAAGAAACCAGCAGCAGGCAAGAATTGCAACCTTGGCTGAACTACAAGAAGGCTCAAGAAATCCATACTGCAGCACGTTCCAAGATGAAATTCCAAAACAGAATGAAATATTTCCTGGTGCAAAAGACCCTCAGTGGACCAAGAAATTTGCTTGGAACCAAAGAAACCAGGTAAAGTCTGTTCCTCATTAGCTTCTATGATAATAGCCCAATCTTACATTCTCTGTTTCTTTGGAATTCATTTGTTTTCATTACATCAGGTGGTTATTATTATGATGTGTTAATGGGCTTCAAGCAGTGTTGTCCTGAGTGTCTCAGGCTGTGTGACTGCTAAAATAAGGGGTTTGATATTTCTTCTTATAATGGAACCCTTTGCATGTCTATTTGTCAGTGGGACCATAGGCCTTTATTACAAGCATATTCAAAGGGGATGGGGTGGGGGGAGTGCGAAACACTAGCACGACTCAAGAGGCTGGGCATTTCATCAAGGTTTCAGAAGTCCCCTTTTATAATATAATCACCATGCTCCATTTCCCCTGTGCCCCCATCACATGCCAAAATCCTTGGCAGGCCTTCAACCAAGAGAAGCCACCCAAGCTCTTGACCCTCTTTCCTTATGTTTCCCCTGAGGGCCCTACATCATGCTCCTGTAGCTGGCAGTTTTGCTTTCATTGCCGACTTTCATTTTCATCCCCGAGGAGCTTTTTTTTTGAGTCATCATTCCTTCGGTCCAAGGTGAGCATAGTGAAGCTCTGCATCTTTTTAATGTTGAATGTCAATTAGCCAGATGAGCTTCTCCTTATATAATAAAAAGCACCACTTGCCCATAAGGATAATGTCTACTTCTAATGTAGTATTATAAAGTCTATTCTATTACCGACTTAGAAAAAGAGGATAATGGAGCCAGAAATCAAATTCAGGTCACTGATAAGGCAAAGGAGTGCACTACAGTTCACCAAGACAACAAGCAATTTTAGGCCAAAAGTATTTCACAAAACCTTGGAATCACAGAATGCGAGAGTTGGAAAGCTCTCAATGGCCATCTGGTCCAATCCATTAATTCCTTGTGAAAAGTCCTTCCTCACCAAGGCCAATGGCCACCTATTCTATAACATCATATTATGTCATATCACATCATAAATATTTTAAAGCTGAAGTGACATCAGAGATCTTTTAGTCCAGCTTCTTAATTTTTCTGAGGCTAGAAAGTTTACTTGATGGTGTCCTAATACGCACAGGTATTAAGACTCAAAGGCAAGATCTGAACCCAAGTCCTCTGACTCCAGAAGCAATGTTCTTTTAATTATAAAGGGCTGCCTTCTCCTGCTTACCAAACCTTAGTCCTAGGCTATGCTAACTATATCTCTTTCCTTTCTAATTGACCATAACATATTTCAAATCTCTTATCCTCAAATCATCTATGTTACCTCTTCCCTTTCTCTGAATTGGAACTTACTTTCTACTTTAATGAGAAAATGGAGGTCATCTATCATGAGCTCCTTCTTTTATCGTATGGCATACTTTAAAAAAAAAACACCTCCTTCTTAACCATCTCCCATTATCTTCAATTTTGCTCCACTCTATGAGGAAGATGAGTGGTTTTTGAGACAGTCAGAGGTGAAATGACTTGCTCAGGGGCATATAGCAAATATTACGTCCAAGGCTAAACTTGAACCCGGGACTTCTTGACTCCAGGACTACCTTCTTATAGCTAATAGCTAGCATTTACATAGCAAGATTGCAAAGGGCTTTACAAGTATTTCATTTAATCTTCACAACAATCCTGGAAGTTAGATTCTATTATTGTTCCCATTTTACAAGTGATGCAATTGAGGCTGAGAGAGGTTAAGTGACTTGTCCAGGGTCACACAGCTAGTGTCTGAGGCAGAATTTGAACTCAAATCTTCCTGTTTCCAAGTCCAAGAAGGCTCTTACCACCATGTCATCCTGCCTCTTAATGCTCACCTATAATGCCTACAACAAAATAAAGAACTATGGAACTGTTCATTCCATCTATGTAGCATCCTCATAGAATACCTATTGTCTACCTCTAACTACATCGGATGTCATGCACAGTAAGACTCCTATTTAACTGAGTTATAAATGTATTTTTAAAATGCGTAAATATATGTTTGCACACAAAAGATAACATTGGTGTTTACCTAAGGCACTGTCTTTAGTAGCTAATGTGCATTTTGTAATAACCTGAGAAAACAAAAACCACCCTTCCTATTCCCGGGGAAATGGTCCTTGCTATCATTTCAGCAACACTAAACATGTCTGCTATTCCAGACACTATCGAGAAGCAGGTTTGGTTGAGCACTTTTGTGTGTGTGTGTGTGGTGTGTGTGTGTGTGTGTGTGCTGAGTATATGGAAATATTCTTTTATGTTCATTCTGCTCTGGTAATTGTTAATGTTATTGCTGTTTTTACCATATGACTTGCGGTTAAGCATTACTTTTTTAACAGCCTTGGCTTATGCTGATGTCTGCCACATGTGATTCCCTTAAACATGATGCTCCCCCTTTTTCTCCTCTCCAAGACTTTCCCATCCCTCCTCCACCTCCAAATTCTCCAAACACCTTCACTGTCACAGACGGCATTTTATGGATTGCTCTTCTGGTATACATGTAGGTGTTTAACTTGACTTAGGGCTCGCTAGAGATGCTAGAGATTTAACCTCAAACAGGCACTGTCATCTCACTGCTTTCCTTTTGTGATAATTGCATGTTTCCTTATCATAGATCAAATTGATGTTCTGAATATGTCTGTAACAGTCCTTTCTAATTTTCTTTTTCTTTTTTTTTCTGATGCTTTGGGTCAGAATGGCTTTCTAAAGACTCAATACAGCATCTGTTCTGGGACCAGGATAATATGGAAACTGACAAAGGAATTGTTGAAGTATGAAAGCATTGAAACACACTGTGAAAACTATAAGTGAGACTTAACTGAAGGTAGAAAGTAAAACATTACCTAAAGATATATATTTGTGCATATGGGGTGGACATTCTATTAGCTATTTCCTTTTCTCCTATACCCAATATGGCCATATAATGTTGTGATAAGGTCTTGCCTTACAATTCATTCCATATTTCCCTATTACTCCTCCCAAAGCTTTTTTTTTTATTTTTTACCTCTCCTCTTCTCTTCTCCCCCTTCCCCACCCCCACCTTCCCACCCCCACCTTCCTGCCCCAGTACATTCCCAGGCCATCATCCCTGCTCTGGCCTCAGTTTCTTCCTTTTCCAGGATTGACCCTTTAGTGAACCAGTCCAACTCTATCTTATCCTGCCCTCTTTGATTTCATTGCTCCTTGTCTTATCAAACCCATCCCTTGCCAGAACATAACTCTAGATTACTCTTACTATGACCTTGAGGTAGTTAAGTAGCACAATTCATAGAGCCTTGGGTTTGGAGTCAGGAAGAACTGAGATCAAATCCAGCCTCAGGCATTTACTAGCTGTGGGACCCTGGGCAAGTTACTTAATCTCTATCTGTCTCCTCCTCAGTAAAATAGGGATAACAATAGCACCTGTTTCTCAGGGTTGTTGTGAGGATCACACGCGATAATATTTGTTTAGCACTTTGCACAGTGTAGACCCTTTGTAAATACTTGTTTCCTTCCCACTCAGTTGCTCCTGAAATGAAATACAAAAAGCCAAGCAACTCTACTGAGTGAGTCCAGTATAGATTCATATTATATAATTTCATTTGGACTCTTCCTTCAGCAAGGCCATTCTTTTCTCCCTCCCAACTCATTCTCTGTCTCACTACCCACAAACAAAATTTCTTTAATCTGCTAAAGTCTCTCAACCAATCCCCTACCTACAACCCCTAATTTTTGCAACCAAAGACCTTTCTTCATACATTGTTGAGAAAATAATAGTCATTCACCATAGCTCTCTCTTTTCTCCTTTCCATCTCATAAGCTTTCAACATGATCTACTCCACCCTCAATTTCCTACTCCTCTCCAGTCTCTGATGAAGAAGTGGCCTTTCTCATTACAAGGTCAACTCCTCTGACACACCTTGATCCCTTTGCTTCGTATCCTCTCCAGCAGATGCCTTCCACTGTCATTCCCCAGCTTCTCTAATCTTTCGTTCTTGGCTAAATACTGATTCCTTCTCTGCATATAAACATCAAAGAATATCATGACCACAACTTATCTCCCATTTCTCTTTTTTTTTTCAATCAAACTCCTTAAAATACTCTCATATACCTCACTTCTTTTACTCTCTTCTAACTCTCTTCAGTTTAGTTTCTGTCCCATCTGCTATCTGGAATTGATCTCTGCCAAATCACATCTCCTCTGAATTGTCCAATTTGATGATCTTTTCTCAGTTCTCTTCCCTCTTTATTTCTCCTCAACACTTAGGACTGTTGACTACATTCTCCTGCTATACAGCCTCTCCTCTCTAGGTTTTCATGACATAGTTCTCTCTTAGCTCTTTGACCACTCCTCAGTATCCTTTGAAGAATCATCATTTACTACATGCCCCCTAATATGACTGTGCTCCAGGGCTCTGTCCTGCACCTTATCTTTTTCTATAGTCCCTCCCTTGGTGACCTCATCAGTGTTCATGGGACTAATCATCACTATGCTGATGATTTCCCTAGCCTTTGTTTCATTCCTGAGATGAAGTCCCATATAACCAACTGGCTTCTCTGTGGTTCAGTGGAAGCCATATAGGCATCTTAAATTAAACATATCCAACATTGCACTCATTATTTTCCCCCAAAATTGCAGCTGTATAATGAACTTCTCTATTTTTCTCAAGAGGCTGCAGGCCATCAATCTCTCTGTCATCATTACCTCCTCATCCAATTTCAAACCTCTATCCACTCAGTTGCTAAATCTTTTTTGTTTCTATTTTTACATCTCTCATATCTATCACCAGCAAAATAGGGATCATAATGATACCTACTTCCCAGAGTTTAGAGAATAAAATGAGATAATATTTGTGAAGTGCTTAGCATCGTGCCTAGCACATAGGAGGTGATATAGAAATGCTTGCTTCTTTACTTAAATCACAGCTAATATAGTCATCACTCTAGCTCAAGTCCTCAACTTTGACTTAGAGTATTGGGATGTCCTCTGAAATGGTATCTCTGTCTGAAATCTATACACTAAAATGCATCCTTCACCATGCCAAGGTGATTCTCTAAAATA